TGGGCTCCGCCCCTGGATTTGCCTACCTAGAGGAGCTGGACTAGAAGGGCTTGAAGCACACAAATTGAGAGAGAGAGAGCATTTTAGATTATCCGAAAGTAAAAGTAAAATATTGCTCAAGCACTTAAGTTTGATTTCATTGCAAGTCAAATTTGATTTCTTGTCTTTAGTTTAACTTATAGAGCATAATCCTCCCTTTTCTAGATTCTCATCCCCCCAAAGCCTTTTGTAAAGAAATCTTAAGGTCCGTTTGATTGACAAATGTGGAAATACTTTCCAATTTCATGAAAGTTGGAAAATAAAAATTCAAGTACCTCATAGTAATGTATTTTCCATTAAATCGGCAAAAAACAAGTTTAAAATAGTTGTACTTTGGAATTCAAACTCCATTTCCACTTTCGTATCAAACAGTCAAAGTAGAAATTGAATTCCTTGAATTGACCAATCAAATGGACCTCTAAAGAAATTCCAAGTCGAGTCCATTTACGTTCAATTCTCTGGTGTAGTGGTTGCTTCCTCTACAACTACATCATAAGAAGAAGACAAAAGGGAAAGGCTACATGGCTGAGTTGAATGTACTCAATTATCCCATAATATACGCTCAACTGTTCGAAATTCCCATTTGCCAAAAGCTAACTCAAATGATTGCATCAAGAAGACAATAGCATGTCATGATTTTATTAATGCAATGATGAATGATCTCATTGTATTACATGAACTTCTTCCTAGCAAGAAGTTGAATTCAGGGCACGGACAAATATAGGGTTCTCATCTCTCTGGTACAAACTGGATGAAAAAATTCATTTTCAGTTTGAATTCTTTCTCTAATCATTACAATGTCACACATGAACCCTAAGAGGATATGAAGAACGCCTCTGCTATAAGAATCTCAAAGGGAAATTTATAGTCTAGCCTAAAAATAACGATCTCATAATTCGATCTCAACAATGTGTACTTTCTGATCCTCCCGAGGCATAGAGTCCAGCTTCAACGTGACCAAGCTGGAGGCAGAGTCATACTCGAAGTCAACAACAGATGATCCAACTGTGCATTTTCTGGGCTTAGCAGATGAGTATGCGCCGAAACGTCCACAGCCCTTCACCTCCATGGAAACTACAGCCACAACCTTGTTGCTCAAGTTTTCGACTCTTTCTCCTTCAACTCCATTCTCAACTTCAGATAGTTTTGCACCTGACTTGACCTCGTATTTAAGCCCTTCGATTGCTCCGCCGGCATTGAACATGTCGACGAGTCCCAATGGTGCAAAACTGAACCCAGGTGCCAACACTTTGATTGGTGTAACGGTGTAAATTTCATGCTCGAGGACATTGAGGGAAATAGGCATAGAAACATTGTACGGAAGGGTGATAACTTCACCACTCCGGTGAGAGTACACTGCCACGTCACCAGTCCAATCAGAGTCTAGGGCAGCTTCAGAAATCATGTGGACATCACGGCCTCGGATGTAGCCTGTTATTGCCTCGGATTTTGTTTGGTGGAATGTGTTCTTTCTTTCGATACTATTCCATGCTGCACCTTGGCAGTTGTATACTCCAAGTACTCCAGTATACTTGTTCATGTTCCATATCTTCAATAGGCTGGAAATAGAACCAAATCTTGAGTTAGGAAACATTGTACAATCAAAATTTTGTTACTTCAATTTGACAAAGTTCGATTCTCAAATTTCATCGTTGATACTTGTTTGGAATTGAAAAGGCTTACCTAACACCATCACGAGCTGGATCTGTAAATAGAGAATCCTTGGTCGGACGACCTGGCAAGCGGGCTCGGAGAATCGAGCCATCGGGAAGAACAAGCTTCTTCAGAAGATCAAAGTTGTGCTTCCCAGGTGCATCACTGTTACAAAAGTACACAATATTAGCCTATGCTAATGGATAATGCCAATGACGGAAAACAAGCTAAAATCTTGTGAACATGAACAAAGGGTCTTTGATTCTTTACCTAACATAGACAGGTCCTCCACTGATCGCCCTAGCTGATCCATGATACTCAGCTGCTGGATGCAGAGAATGGAACATATCCCAGTCGGGGAGCATGATTTCCCCGAGGAAGACACTGTTATATGCCACTGCAGCAATGTGGATGGTATGTGATACAGGATCACGGGGGTAGAAATCATCTGATGCCCTTACAATAGCCGTTTGTTTCGAGCTGTTTCATAAATCATAGGAACAAAAACACATGAGAATACTTCTAAATCAAAATTACAAAATGTAGTCACAAGTTTGATCTCAATATTCCATAAACATATCTTATTCGGACCCCCAAAGCCTTAACTAGAAATCAAGGTAATAAATGTAACTCTTCCATTTAAGGGAATTATCTAACATAACATTCTTGACGTACTCTGTTAAATTTAAGGCTACAATTATGAAACATGGAGACAATAAAGATAAAACTTTCTATCCAAGTGAAAATCTTAGGTCTGATAGAATATGTTCCAGACAAATGAAGCTGGATTTTAGTGTTCTGGAAAGTTTAGGATGCCTTTTTTAATCTACTCAACAACTATAACAGATTGATCTAAATACAAGAATCGAACAAAAAGCACGCAAAACATATCAAAAAAAAAAGTAGATCTTTTTAAGGAAAAGGATCAGAAACATACCAATAAAGGGATTCAAGGTTATGGCTCATGCAGGCAATGCATCCATTATCAGGAAAGTTTCTAGCCACAGATGCATCAAGAGCCTGGTGATACTGGCGGGTCAATTCGACCCGACCCCCAAGACCTGCCCCGAGGGTCTCCAAGATGCATTGCACATCCACCTTCACACCATCTATTCCAGCAGCAGCCAAGTAGCTATGCAATTCATTGTAAAACTTGTACACATTTTTCGGGTTCACTAAACCTAACCCCTGCAGTGCAATTGCATCAGTTTTCCACCCCGGCTCGTTAGCTAGGACACCGTTGGACAACGTCGGATACTTCATAGCTGATCCATATTCGTCCATCCCATTCACTCCAGGTCGAACCCCACCCCAGTAACCGGTGATTGCGTGCCACACATAAACGTATTTCAATCCGTGCTTTTCTTTCGCAATGTTGACTATGTTCTTGATCCCCACTGAGGGATCGTCCTTCTTTTGAAATTTCTCGTTTTCTTTAATTCCGGTAAGCCTCAGCAGGGATGCCTGCTCTTGCTCTTTCTTTTCCTTCTCCTCATCTGTACCAACTGATTGCCATCCATCATCTATGATCACGAACTTCGGAGGGGTCCCACCGGCCTCGAGGCTTTCAAGCCCGGCTGCGACTCCCTCCTGAGTAACCTCTTGGTAGAATGCATCCCAAGTGCACCATCCAAAGTAATCCACAATTCCAGGCAATTTCTTCTCATGCCTCAGCCTGAATGTCCCGAGATGGGATTTCACGGCCCGGATCGCCTCGTATATGGTCCCGAATGGATCAGTTCCGGCACTGATGTATACCGAATGCGTAAACGAAGATCCAACGGTGTCGGAATCGCCACTCTCCAAACAAAGCTCAAGTTCATCCTGATCATTCCCCTGCAGACAAGCCTTAAAGGGACCTTCAATCAAGGGCAAAAACACAGTATAAACAATTTTATTTTCATCATCGCCATTAATATCTGATTCCAAGTGAGATCCATCCATAGTTTCCAAGAGCAAGAATTGTGTCTCCAATGGAATATCACGGCCCTTGTCCCCCATTTTCTGGGCCATCCACCATAACTTGAACCTAAAGCACGACAAGAAACGCACATCCCGCAGTGTCCCGAGCGACACCACTTGCCGGTTGTTCTCTTTGTCGAACACCGCCCCCAAAAACACCCCCTCCACTGGCGCTGCCTCCGCGCCGGAAGTCGCTATAACATTGTCCGGCACATTATTCAATAAAGTCCTGTCCTTCACTACCAGTTTCCGATCTGCAATCCTCACAGCTGGCTTGATCGTCATGGCTTTTTTAACTTTATCAAATTCTACTTCACTACCCTGCAAAAATTTTCACACACACACACTTCATTAATCAACTTATTTCACAAAATCAAAAGAAGTCCACCTCAAATCAGACCCGAAACATGAACAAAAGCACAAAATTTTACCTTGTAAGAGACAATGAAATTAGGTGAAGAACACGGGAAACGAGAAAGAAAGAACCTTGACTTGGTTTCTTTCTGAAGATGAAGAGTAAATGGATAATTGAATGATGAAGAATGCTTGAGAAATGGCGAATTTATAGTGGTGGGAGGCTTGGTATGGTAAACTGAAATTGATAGAGGCACCATGGCTAATGATTCAGGAGGCACCCCTAACTACCCTGACCTCCAACTCCTCGGTTTCTTCTATAGG